CATCGTTCATTGGTGCGGCCTCTGACGTAAGTCCCTCGGGTCGGGGATTCAAATCCCGTGGTGCGGACTCTTTGAATGAGAAGTAATCACACAAGGGTTTTCAACCATTTAGCGGAATCGATATTTGGTGCATACTAAACCAAAAATCAATTTCACCTTTTTTAAATATATATATATATATATGTATATATATATATATATATATATTAATTAGTACTATTTTAAAAAAAATTTAATTGACTTCAAGATTACAAAGATTTATAATCAATTAAATGTATTAGTTAAGAAAATATAATTAAAATTATTAATTTATATTCAAATGATGTTTTAATATAAACAATATTTTTTAAATCTTGCCCCAACCTTTAGCATCTTATGATTACGTGATTACGATTGTCAAAATGACTTTTTGTCCGTGAACAGCTTGTGTTCGACTTGCTAAACAAACAAGCCGAAAACGAACACGCATTTTGAGCTCGAAATATAAACGAGCCGAACACAAGCAGAGACTCGACTCGCTCGTGTTCGACTCGTTTGTATAAAAGATTCAAATAGGACTCAGCCTAATTTTATTTTGTATTCCGTAATATGACCGAGCCCGAAGAACTTCTGCATTCCGTTTTAAAATATGTTGGTCATATTGAACGAATGCTTTTTCGTATATTTTTAATTTGATTATTTTTTCTTAACTATCTGGCTACAAGTAATTTTTGATTTCTATGATTTCCAGCTTCAGAAACGCTGGCTGAAGAAGACTTTTTAAATATGATTGTTAATTTTTAATATTAATTCGAGAGAAGGCGCAGTAGAAAAAAACAAAGTTGGCCGGCAAAACTGTGCCGTTGTGGGCGGCCTTCTATCGGACGGGCCAAATTCTTGAGTGGATATGACCTATTTAAAAAAGAAACAGGGCCCACATGCCGGATTTTTTTCTTTTGAAAAAATCTTATCAAATGCATAATCAACTGTATTATTATATAATTAGTTTGGGTAAAAATGAGCCCAACAAGAAAAACAAACTTTTACTCCCGCCCTCTCGTTTTAAAATCGAGCTCAACAAATTTATTAGTATTTGATGAAAATGAGTTATTTCACGAGCAAAACAAGAGTTGTTTGTAAATGATGATTTTTTTACAATCCCACATAACACTTTGTATATAACACTATGTATGGGTGTGTGTGTGTGTGTGTGTGTGTGTGTGTGTGTGTGTGTCTAGATGTGTATAAAAGTGTGTATCTATTTATATGTGTGTATAGATGTGTATAAAAGTGTGTATATGTGTGTGTGTATAGATATGTATATATGTTTATGTATGTATGTATGTATGTATGTATGTATGTATGTATGTATGTGTGTATATATATATATGTGTGTGTGTATA